AAATACTCAATAAGCAAATGATTGGTTGACCAAGAGGTACTGCCCTGAGACATGGTTTCAGAGATCAGGGAGTCCTGTGGATAGTCCCGGGCCTGGAAGCGGGAGGAACTAGATTTGACTCCCTCAACAGCTGTGTGGGCTTCCCACCTCTGAGCATTTGTTTCCTCATCTGTAGAGTGGGTAATCAAACCTCCCTTGCAAAGCCATTGCACAGATAGTGATGTAGAAACATGTAGCACAATTCCGGGCACACGCTCAAGAGGCAGTGACTAGGGCTGGCTGGTTAGCTCAGTTTGTTAGAGCACAGCCTTGTGACACCCAGGTCAGGGGATCTGATCCCCATACCGGCCAACCTCTCCCCCCCACCCCAAAAAAGGTAGTGGCTGTTAAAATCAGGAGCCATTCCTTTGCAACCTAGCTTTGGGTCAAGCCCAAAGCAAAGCCATCTGGAAGGGGCACTCCTCAACACTGCCGTCAGTGTCTGGCACTTGGTGAGAATGAGTTTCTCACATTTCTGATTGGTGAGGGGGGGACAGGTAGAGAAGGCGGCTCTGAGCCCATAAGGTAGGAGGGAGGAAAAGAGGCCAGCTGGCATACTGGCTCTGAGTTCATTTTCTCACCAGAAGAATGGGGAAAATACACCATTTAGAAGGTTGTAGTGAGGGCCAGCCCGGTGGCGCACTCGGTAGAGTGCGGTGCTTGGGAGCGCAGTGGCGCTCCCGCCGAGGGTTCGGATCCCATATAGAGACCAGTCCACTCACTGGTTGAACCTGGTGCGGGCGCGACACCGAGGGTTACGATCCCGTTGCCGGTTGCAGTACGGGCGCGACACTGAGGGTTGCAATTCCAAAAGACAAAAAGGAAAAAAAAAAAAGAAGGTTGTAGTGAGGATTAAATGAGCTTACCCATCCAGCGCACAGAAGGCTCCCTCCACTTTCCCCTCCTCCCCTCCATCCCTCCTCCCCAACAGCAAACTCCAAGATTTCTCAGTTTTGCTCTGCTTTTCCCAGGCTGTGAGTGGAGGCAAACACTTGGACCTCTACTAAGGCCAAGCCCAGGACAGCCCAGGCTGCACCGAGTCCACCTTCTCAGCCCATTTACCTCAGCCCACCAAGAGAACGACTCCAAGGCCCCGTCCTCCTGCACCCCTGCCTCTGTCACAGCAAGTCCCATGGAGATCCTGCCTGTTGTCATACAGCTAGCCCGTCCCATTTGGTGCAGGGCCATGGCACCATGCCCCTAGGAGCCTCAGCATACGTTTCCAAGGAGACAGCCCTGTGTGTGCACACACAAACTTGTAACACTCAGTTCTTTAGAGAAAGGTGGAGAGGAAGGTGGAAAGAGAGGAATGAGGCTCAGATTGCAAATGTGATGTAGATAGAAGGAACGTAATGTCAGGCCGAGCTGCTGTTTGCCTGTCACAGAGAAAACAGCACAGCACTTCACAGTTTTCAAACAGCTTCATGTGGGATGACTCGTTTAATCCTGGCAATGAGCCCATGACACAGGTGTTCTTTTTCCCTGTTTTACAGATTAGAGATGGAAAGAGAGAGAGGCAAGTCAAGGATAACTGGCCAGTGGGCAGCAGAGGCAAGTTCAAGTCCTGTCTGATTACAAGCCCTCTGTTGTCTTCCCTGAGCCACCTGCCTTGCCCAGGAGTAATTCTTTTTTAAGTAGTGCCCCAGGCAGGATCCCTCTCTGCCCAGCTCAAAGCAAGTGACTCGTTCAACCTTCAAGTGTGTTTTCAAGCTTCATAGCTCCCTGGAAAGGAGGCCTGAGTGACTAAAGGTGACAGAAAGATGGGGAGAGGGTTGCCTTGGAGCACAGCCAAGGCCCCATGTGGAGAGGGAAGGATGGGGGTGGAGAGCTAACAGTGGTTTACAGATGCCCAGTCTTTCCACAAGCTGGAGAAGAGAGAAGCGAGAGATGGAGTAAGCGGTCTGGAACGGAAACAGTCCTTGGAAGAGGATCCTTGGGAGAAAGGGCAGGAGCAGAGATAGGAAGAGTAGTCTTTCAGTACCAGGGCCCATAGACATAGAAGGGAAACTGAATCAAGGCTTCAGGTACAGACCCATCTTTTTGCTGGACATGGATTTCTCTGCCCTTAGGGAAGTTGGTTGAACTGCTGGTCCAGATTGACTCAGGTCTGGTCATCTCTGCTTATCCAGGGACAGGAAAGAGGCAGAGGTCTGCACAGGCTGGGGTGGGAGGCTCAGGGGCAGCAAGAGGGAGAGGGGCCCCAAATTTGGGCCTCAAGGAGTATCGTTGAGCTAGAAAGTGGAGTGAGAGGCTGGAGGGAGAGCAGAGTCTCGTGAGAGCACACTTGGAATTTCTCACACCCTTCATGGCTTTCTTCTGAAATTCCCTCCCACTGACGCCAAGATACGCTCTGCCTGTGACTTCAGTGTCACATGGTCATTGGGCTGGAGAAAGAAGGGAATGTGGGGAGAAAGAAGAAACCCGGTCCTTTTCACACCAGACAGGGAGCCCAAGAAAATCCACCAAAACAGGGGAAGCAATCCTGAGGGACACTCCTGTTTTCTGGGGGCAACTAGCCTCTGATGTTTTCCTCCCATTGAGGTCAGAAGCCAGAGTGTTTGGAAATGGGCAGAGAAGCTGCTTCAACAAGAACTTTTTAAGTACATGCTACACGACTGCTTAAAATTCTAGATCTATATGGTGGGTGTACTCTCTTTTCACCAAGGTATATTGCTTTTCAGGCAGACATTTTTGTTTTATAAATAATTTGGAGAGTCTGGAAGCTCTGGAAAATAGTGATTGCAGGGTAGAGGCGGTAGTGTGAATGAGGTCTTTGTGACCCCTTTGGCCGTCAACCCTCTTCCCCTCATTTTACCTACCCAGTTGGCCACAGGCATCTGTCAGTCCTGTGGGATCTCACCCTCCTGACCCTCAGTGAGACTACTCGCAAAGTGTTAGAAGGTGACCTGAAACTCTGGCCCACACCCCTCAGATCTACTCAGCCGTACCGGACTAACTAATCCTCAGCCAGAGCTTGCCAGTTCTTGGCAAAGCTCTGCCTGAAACCTTGGGCAAGTCCCGTAAGTGCTGGGCCTTGTCTTTGCCCATCTTGTTGCAGGCCTCTGCACACCAGCTGGGAGCCAGCAACCGGCAGTTGCTGCCACACTTCTAAGACCTTGTTATCCTCATCCAAGGTGCAGTACCCCAAGTCACCCCCGAGACCCTTCCCTGCCTAGTTGGGATCTGGCCCTGCAGTGCAGCTGGCAGCCCAGGGCTCCTTGTGCATGGAGGGGCATCCTGAGACACCTGGGTGGGGCCAGAAGGGGGCTGCGCTACCTTCCCTGGGTCCCTGGACCAAGAAGGGAACCGTCCACCTCTAGCTTTTGGAAAGCCTTTCAGTTTTGCCCACCCACATGGGCCGTTCAGAGATGGAACAAAAGTCAGCTGTGGCATGTTTGTGGGCACGGACTCCATCTGGGGGCTCAGCCATCAGGCTGAATTGCAGAGGGCTTTCCTGAGGAGGTGGGCTTTTGGGAGTAGCTGGTGTCCTGAGAGCCAGGAGGGAGTAGGAGCTCTTTCTGTGAGCCCACCTCAGAGGGTGGCCTGTACTATCTTAGCATTTGAAACCACAGGTGCAGGGGCCGGCCCGTGGCTCACTTGGGAGAGTGTGGTGCTGATAATACCAAGGCCATGGGTTTGGATCCCTATATAGGGATGGCCAGTTAGCTCACTTGCAAGAACATGGTGCTGACAACACCAAGTCAAGGGTTAAGATCCCCTTACCGGTCATCTTTTAAAAAAAGAAAGGAAAAAATAAAATAAAACAAAGAAACCACGGGTGCAAGCTAAGGGACCTCTCTCTAAGAGAGAGCCTATGGGAGACCCTTCCCTGAGCTCTGGGAGCCACTCTCCTCCCTGGGTCAGTGTCTTTCGAGGAGCAGAGCCTGCGGCCCCTCCTTTCTTGACTTGACAGAAACAAGCCCACACCCGGCTCCAAATGCTGAGGGGAGGCCAGTGGCTGTGGTGTCTGTCCCCTGGCTCCAAAGTTTGGGATTGCTCTATGAGAGTCCTGTCTGTGGAAGGAATTCCGTGGGGACAACCATGCCCACCTGATGATGATGTATATCAGGTGCCACCACAGCAGGATGAGGGAGAGGCCTGAGAAAGGTCCCCCGAGGGGACACCTCAGGCTCCTAAGTCAGTCTCAGGCAGCAGAGGCCAACTGGGCCCCTCTAAAGTCAATGAGGAGTTTGAGCAATGAGGACCTGGGGGTGAGCCCCTGACATCTTGGAACAGAAGAGATTTGGAGAAATATTTATCAGGAGGGAGCACCCTCAGCAGGTGGCCCCCAATACTCCTCAGCACTAATTGTGGCCTTGGGTTTCCCAGGCAGGACTTGGGAGACACCTGGTGCTGGCTGCCGGATCTGCCCCTCGGTTCACACCCCCTCAGCCTGCTCCCTCGCCTGCCCGTGTTTGCCTGTGGTATCCTAGGAACGTGGGGCTCTGAGCCTTGTGGTCCTGTTACATAACAGCTCCCATCCCATCCATGAGTTCAGCCCTCCAGCGAGCGAGAGCCGCAGCAGGCGCAGCAAAGAAAGCCTCCTCTCCTGACTCGGGCTCCTGCTGCCCAAATCTACAGTCTCTGCCACTCCTCTGCCCACCCCTAACATGCAGAGGGAGGGAGCTTAAGGAACAATCAACATCCAGCTGGATTTTTCAACAGGGCTCTCTGGTCCTGTCCTTGTCCCACGTGAGCACAGCACCTGTCAGTGGCTGCACACTGGCCATGGCTTCCCAAGCTAGCAAGCCTAGGGGGCAGACCCAGAGTCTGCACCCCCATACCTCCTGAGTCCCTCTCTGCACCGCAGCCCTTTCTCTTGCCCAGGATGGGACCAAGGGTGGACCCCTGCTGGGGACCTTCCCTATTCTGGAGATGCCCATCTAGCCACTGTGCCTGTGGCTGCCCCCACCCCTTAGGCACTTGGGTAGCCAGCCAACGCAGACCACCTGTTCTCCTACCTGTCTTCTTCTCTGGCCAAGGCAGAGAGTGCTCCAGCAGGGACTTGAGGACCTCAGGCATGTCCATGGCAGGGGCCACTCCGAACCGGTCGCAGCTAGACATGGCCCAGCAGGAGGTGCTTGCTCCTGGGAGTTTAGAAGCAGCTGGGGAGGGGGCTGGCCCGGGAGCAGCAGGCTAGGGAGGCAGGCAGGGTGGGAGCCTGAGGCAGCCAATGGGCAGTACCGGCCCAACCCATCCGTCCACCCCCAGCTCGGCCACCTGCCAGCTCTGGCTGCAGCCAGGCCTTCCCACTGCTTGGCAGGGCGGGCCTGGCCCTGTGCCAGCTGCAGCACGTGGAGCCTCTGCGCCAATCCTCTGACAGAGAACCCGGCCTGTTATCTAACTTTGCAAAGGGAAGTTCTCTCCCAGGCTGAGAGCCATAACCAGGGCTGCCAGGTGAGAACGGGCGGGCGAGCACAGCTCCACGCCCACATTGAGCATGTACCGACACACAGCGGGAGGTGCCCTGGAGGCCTAAGCACAACGGAGAGCAGGGCATGCACGGAAACCGCCTGGGACTGGGACTTGAGGTCCCAGGAAGAGAGGATGATTGGCAAGACCAGCATCCCAGGCAGCTCAGCATATACAGGGACATCAGTGGACATGATGCATTCGTTCACTTGTGAGCTGTGAGCCCGGAGGGGGTGTGGCATGTTTTGATGCTGATGTGTATATGCCATGCACATGTGCCCTGCAAGGCACATGAGTGTACATGTGGCATGCATAATTAGGACTTTATACCATCTCCAGAGCCTGGAGCCTGTTCCTCAAAGGGAAGTGCCAAAACCTGCTGCCTAAGGTTTTTTGGGAGAGGGGAGAAGAGGTAGGTGCCTAGTGGACAAGTGCTGGGAGGGCAGGCAGGGCAGGCACCACTGAAGGGGCAGCTCTGCAAACTGGCTTAGGCTTGTCCTGGATGAAGAATCTCTGCCTCTCAGCCCATTGTTATAGGGACTTTAGTGGCAATTGGCTGTTTGCTGTAGTCTCCTCCCATGCCTTCTCACTAGGACACTATATGACCTCTGTGGTCCCTAGGCCACTTGAACGTATGAGTGAAGCCAGGGTTCTGTATGTTGCCATTTTCCGAAGACCAACATCAGAGCGAAGCCAAACTTGACTGTTTGGGGATTGTCAGGTTCTCGATTCTGCCACACATTGATGTAGATTGTGAATAAGTTGGGCAGCGATTCTGGGTCTCAGTTCCAAAACTATTGAATGCAGTGACCTCTAAGATTCCTTTCAGCTCTGAAGCTCCAGGTCAGATGCAATAAGCATTTGGTTTTTGGCACTGCAGCTGATTTCCATGTAGTTCTTTGCTGCTTTCCAAAATTCTGTTTTATATAGAATCAAAAATACTCCAGGAAGCCTTTCTGGCTTCTCCCCTTCCTAACGACCCCCAGCTTATCCTCTAATTACCTTCCTTTCCTCCCTAATAACCCTCCCAAATTGTATTCCTCTCCCAAATTAATTAAAAATTAATTTTTATTTATTTATTTTTAGAAATTGATGTTTTACTTTCCATCAACCTATTCCATTTTGCTTAACGGCCTATGGAAGAACAGCTTATAATTTTATTTTTTTAATACATAAAGTAGTACATGGCTCAAAGCTCAAAACCTTGATAAGGTATACTTCAGAAATGTCATTACTATCCCTGTCCCTCATCCTCCTTCCCCTTCCTCAAAACAAATTTAGTTCATTTATCTCTCCTTCCAGTGTTTCTATTTGCAAAAGTAGGCACATATATAAACGTCTTAATTACATTTTTCCAAAGAGTTATTTGTGTTGACCAATTGAGAGTATCTTGTAACTATACAGGGAAGGCTGCCTTACTGCACTGCTCCCAACCAAAGCTTTGGCCAGTGCTCTTTGCCTCTGTGATCCTGGGGGTGAGGGAGGGGGTTGACTTGTGATTTGCAGGCAGGGACTGACTCAGGCTAGGCTGGTGCATTAACCATTCCTTGGTGCATTAACCTTTCCTTGGCCCATTCCTCTTGAGTGCAAGATTGGCTTAGCACAAAGGTGGAGCGAGTATGAGCCCACAGAGCATATCAGAGCCTTGTGGTCTGTGTGCTTCAAAAATAGCTACTTGGGGCCGGCCCGGTGGCACACTGCTACAGTGCACTGCTTGGGAGCGCGGCAGCACTCCCGCCGAGGGTTCGGATCCCACATACAGACCGGTTCCCGCTCACTGGCTGAGCGAGGCGCGGGGGCAACACCGAGGGTTGCGATCCCGTTGCCGGTCCCGGTCCGGTACGGGCGCGACCTATAGCTGATCCCACATACAGACCGGTTCCCGCTCACTGGCTGAGCGAGGTGCGGGCGCAGCACCGAGGTTTGCGATCCCGTTGCCGGTCCCGGTCCGGTCCGGGAGTGACACTGAGGGTTGCGATCCGTTGCCAGATACGAAAAAAAAAAAAAAAAAAAAAAAAAAAAAATAGCTACTTGCTGGATGACATTTCATTCTTGGAGATTTATTCCTGTGAGCTCTCTGCAGACTCCTTTTAATGTACAAATGTTCTCAAACCATCAATGAGTGCTTACCACATACCTGGCTCCAGGCTAGACCCTGTGAGGAATTCAGTTAAATAACATACCTAACCAGGCAACTCCCTATCCTGCTACTGGAAGTCTCTGTTGGCACCCCCCTTTCTGCATTCAGAGTGTCTGGCTGGCAGCAACACCTATGGTCAGACAGGGACTACATCCACAGGTCACTGGCCCAGGCAACTGGGGAGGGCAGAGGTAGAGAGAAGGGAAGGCCATGCACATATCTGGAGACGTTTGGAGGGGGCCACATGGCAGGTGTGTTGGGACCGTATGCACTTCTTAGGTTTCCTGGCTAGAGGTCTTGATGCTCACTGAAGATGATCTGAGATCCACTGTTGACCTTATTGATGCCACTGAACCTATCCCTATCGCCTATACTGGGGTTTTCACTGATTGTTTTTGTCCCCAATTTACTGAGAACAAGGTTCTACGTCCTTTATGTGCTGACACCTATGTCTCTTCACAGGGAAGTTGTGATCCCAGACAAGAGCCTGGAGTCAGAGTAGAAAAGCCCCCATAAGAACATCTAATTCCTTGATCAGAGGGCAGGACCAGACCGAGGGAGGACTTCATCAAGAACTTCCACTGTGCCTTGCCCTCTCCCTGGCCAGCAGTGCATATTTAGCTTCCAGTCCCAAAATGAAGATGCCAGAAGAGGTTGACACAAACTTACTATCAATCAAGCAGGTCCAGTGGCTCAGGCTGCCCTTTTCTGAGGGCCTGGGGTATTTCCCTGGAAGGCTACAAAGGGCTCCCCTGGTGGAGGGACATGTGGATGCAGTTTTTGGCAGAACCCCCAAGGGCCTTCTCTAGAGGTGCTGAGCTGCCCCCCTCTCCCGTATGCAGGTCCCCGACAGTTACCCCACTTGCCCCAGGCCTCTCCTCAGAAGCAGCTTCCCCAGAGTGGAGGCAGTTGGTGCACTGTGTTGGTGGTGCTCACTGTGGCCACTACTCACAGGGCCAAAGACCAGAAACAGACCTGTGTTCAATAACTGGGAGCTGCTGAAGCCAGCCTGGCAATGACTGTAAATATCCAGGTTACATTTGTGCATGGAGCCGCATATGTCAAATAAAATCAAGAGAAAAAAAGATGCAGAACAGCAAGTGCACAATGATTACAATGACACAAGACAAAAGAATCTTTTCGAAGCCTCAGTTCATGTCATCTCTTCCAGGAAACCTTCCCTGGCTCTCCAGCCTGGACGAGGAACCTCTCCCACCATAAGCAGTCTAGGCACCTGTGCACAAGTGCCAGGTGGGGAGGAACAGGAGCGACACCTTGGGGACAGAGGTCAAAGTGCACATATTTATTTTCTAGAACAAAGGCTAAAAGAAGCAAGTTTCTTTCATTTTATTTTAAGAAGGACAAAAATTGTTATTAAAACATCTACATTATTATCAAGATACTAGACCTTATGAATATTTAATATTAAAGTGTGGTATTCTTAAATTTTTAATACACAGACATTTTAAAAGGACCATTAAATTGATTACTGCCCAGCTGAGAAATGCAGCATCCCTCTCCACCCCACCCCCACCCCCACATTCACCATACTGTCTTGTCCCTGCCTGCTAGGGGTGGGCACAGGCCCTGGATTCAACTCACTGAGCCTCCTGGCCAGGGGCCCTAGAGTGGTCACATCTGAAATAGTTATCCTCAGCATTAAGTGTTTTCTTGCACCCCCCATCCCCCCCACTCCCTGCCTCCCACTCTCTCTTCCCTACTCTGTGGAGGATCCAGCTCTGGCCAGGCCAAGGAGCCCAGATCCCAAGGGTCTCTGGACATATAACAGGCTGAAGATGAAAACTCTGGACTCTAACCCTATTCCTTTGGGAAGGAGACAAACACAAATCATTTCTCTCCCTGAGCACTCCTTGCTGCCGTCTCCCCACTGGACTGGAGTGGTCTGGGAAACTATCAAGCGCAGCTAGGTCCAGGCAGGGGCCACTCCAGCCCCGGCTGCCCAAATCACCTCCAAACCATGCCTCCAGTCCCTGTCTCCTTGCAAATAGTCTGGTGACCCCCTGAAATCCTCCTAATCATGCAAGGATGGCTGCATTTTCTGGCCAAATTCTTTATCTTTAGCCCTCATTAGAAATGATTCCTTGGATACCACACACATATAATATTATATAGAGTGATATATTTAATACCTGTGTATATATGCATCACGGGGGCGACATATATACACACTAAAAACAAGGCTGGTGACAACAGACTGCAACACCACGGATCAGGGAAAACAAGTGTCATCGACATTCACGGCCGCGGGCCCCCACCCTGTGTGTGGTCTCTCCTCCCCTCCAGCCACACCACCAGCACCCGAACTCTGCAGTGCTGGCCTGCTGGGGGTGGGGGGTGGGGGCAGGGAGGAAAGGGTGCATGCCACAATTAGGTTATCGGGAAACAGTTGAGCAGTGGTGGCAAGAGGAACAGGCTCTACAGCCTGGGTGTCTGTCATTATGTCATCACGCACTATCAATCCTTGCTTGAGGAGAGGTACGGGCCATTCCATTCTCTCTGTCCCACCCCCCACAGCCTTGGTCCCTGGTTCCTTCTGGGGGTGCCCCACTCCTTGTGCCAATTACGTGGGGCATTCTGGAATGTCTGGGGAACTAGGGGAGGCTGGGTCTGCCCATGAGAGTGAGATAGAGAGGAGAGGGTGCACACACACACATCAGACGAGAGGGATGCAAGAGGCCTTGGTGGGTGGGGGCAGAAGCTGGGGGTCAGCTGGGGTCCCAGGCAGCTGGCAGGGCTGGGAATCAGGGAGGGGCTGGGACAGGCGGTCATAACTGCACATCTGAGTCTAGGGGACAGGACCGTGTTGGGTCCCCAGGAAAGAGGACATGTCCCATCCTGGAGTGGGCCATCGTGCCTAGGATCAAGCCTCTCTTTTCTCCATATCCCTCGGACCCCCATCTTCCACCCCCTGTGCCTCATGCAGGACCTGAGCTAGTGATGCCCTGCCCTTTGCTGCCTCTTCTTGAGCATGGGGAAGTAACCTCTGCTGCCACACTCCCTGCTAACAACCATCCTCGGGAGGGGACTGTCCCTCCATGTGGTGCTGATATCGCAGCCCTCCCCTAGCCTCCCTTCCCCAGCTGCACACTGATTCAGAGGCTGTTGTACCCCGACCAAGGAGCCCAGAGGCTCCAGCCCACAACTGGCCCTGAGTCTTCTGACCACTGTTGTCATCCCAGCTGTGCCCTGTGCTGTGTGCTGGAGACCCTGGGGCAGATCACTCCTTCCTCCCAGGTTTGTTTTCCTATCTGCACAACAGGTGGCGGGGGTTAGGGGGTGGGGGTGGGGGTTTGAGCCTTCATCTCTGAAGGCTCTGAGGATCTACACTCTACATTCACTGGCCCACAGGGAGAGGGGATGGGGTGGTGGCATCAGAGAGAACCTAGACTCCTTAGCCAGGCTCCAGAGGTCATCCAACCCAGTCCCTCCCACTCTTCCAACCAGAGGGGAAACTGAGGCCCCAGAGGATAAGTGACCAGTACAGTGTTCCCAGCTCCATGCTGGGGCTGCATTTTAAAGCTTTCCAGGGCCTCCTGCCCTCTGTTGTGTCCTGATCTGCCCCCAGGGAGGGGGATAGGGTGAGGGTGGGGCAAGGAGAAGGACCCTCCTGCTGCAGATTCAAGTGGGGACCCCAGGCTCCCCAGCCCTGAGCTTTGGGCCCCCTGTAGGAGCAAACAGAAATTAAAGCTGTAGGCTGAAGCTGGAGGGGTCAGCCAGGCCCTTCCCTCCCCAACCAGGAGAGCTGTGGGGGTGGGGGAGGAGGAGGGTCTGCCCAGCTTTCAGCAGGACAAGGACCCTGGGACTGCTTAGGGCTGCAGCAAGTGCACCCAGGTATGCACACCTGGGGTGGTGGGGGTGGAGAGGATGGATGGGGCCCCAGGGGGCAGGGGCTGCCTGATGAGGGCGGTCCCCCACCCCCAGTGGCCTGCTCTGGTCCTTCTATCAGGCCCTCTGTCCCCATCCCCACTCCCTGACCCCATGACTTTGCCCATGGCCCTACTCCCCTGTGGTGGCAGCAGCAGCAGGGGCTTCTGAGGTGGCACCAGCAGTGTCCCTGTCCTCTTGCAGCAGGAAGTTGTATTTGCCAAAGTCATCGTCCCGTGGGCACAGAAGCATGTCCTTGCGGGCCTTGGCCAACTTCTGCTTCAGCACCTCGCGCCGGTCCAGCCACTCGTTGAGCTCCTCCTGGCCATGGGCGCAGCGACATTTGTCCCCGTCTGGACAGGCCTTGCCCTTCTGGAGCCTGTGGGCAGCAGGAGGCTCACTGTGCAAGCTCTGTGCCCTTCCTACCTCAAGGACCTTGGGATGGTCACTTGACCTCCCCCCTAACAAGCCTCTTCCCAGGCAGCTTCGGTCCCAGCTCAGAGAAAATCTGGATGTCCCTCTAGCCCTCTCTGGGATCTGGGCAGGTCTAAGCCTACATCTCCAATCCTGCCCCCACCCCCACCGCATGTCCCCCATGGCCGTACACACACCCAAGTCACACCACTCCCCACACACCATCTCCAAGCCAGGAGGAGCCAGAGCTGGCCATGGCCTCCGTCTCCTCAGGCCCCTCACATCCTGCCAGACCCTGCCAGGCCCTGCTGTGCCTGCCCCACGGGCCTGCCCTCCCCAGCAGCACCTGTCACAGAGCCGGAATTCGCCCATGGGGAAGCGGTAGGCCCAGCCACTGGCGTCGCTGTCGGACGTGAAGACCTTCTCCTTGTGCTTCTCGGACTGGATGTGCTGCTGCCACTGCTTCTTGCTGTTGCTGTTCTTGCCACAGAGCCAGCAGTGGTAGCCCATCTAGGGGCACAGCCACTGTGGGTGCCCACTCCCCCACACCCCTGCCCCAACCATCCCCTTCAGGGAGGCTGAGCTCGAGCCAGCTGGCCCCTCCCAGATTAGGCTCGAACCAGGCCCCAAGCACAGAGTGGGCAGGGGGGCATTACCATGATGTCGGCATAGTCCGTGGGCATCTGGATCTGCTTCTCCCCTTCCCGAGAATTGATTGGGGTCCCTTCCCCGGGCTTCCCTGGGTTGTGTTTTTTCAGCCACATGTCATAGGTCTGCTGCATGTCCAGGACTGGGCAGGGGACAGGGGACAGAGTGCCTGGTGAGGGGGCTTCTCCAGTCATTCTGCCCCATGACCCTTGCTTAACTTGGGAGCCATGGGCCTCCCAGGCCCCGCTGGTGGGCTGCATGGTCTTGAGGCCTGGGTAACCACACAAGACCCAGGGAGCGCATGGTCTGGTGCCACTGCAGAAGGGCCCAGACAGCAAAGGGAGGCTCTCTTGGGCCTGCTGATGAGCTGGAGTGTCCAGCAATGGGGAGACGCCAGGTGGGGCCCCACCCTGCCCAGTCTGCCCACTCACTCTTGTTCTCCTTCATGAATGTCCACATGTCCCTCTCCTCAGGGCTATGTGCGAAGGAGCAGTTCCCCACGTACTGGCACTTGCGGCCGTTCTGCGCGTGGATGCAGAGCTGTGGAGTGGGCATGGGGGAGCTGGCTGAGTCCTGCTGGCCTGCACCACTGCCTCAGCTGCGGGCCCCATGGCTCCCCTGCCCCTGTCCCCCCCGGCACTCACATCGTATTGCTGTGGGAAGTTGCGAATGGACGGCAGTGGCCTCACTGACACCCATTTCCTCTTGGCCTTGGACATTACCAGAAGGACCCGCCGCTCCTTGGTCCAGCTGCAGGACAGAGAGGGGAGCTGGATGGGGAGAGATCAGGGCAGAGCCCCAGGGCTTTGTGACCTCTGCAGAGAGCCCTGGCCTCTCTGAGTCTTGGCCTCCTCGCCCATAGTATCCAGGTGGACCCCCACCCTGCCTGAGCCCCTGCCTGGTGCCTGGCTCACCAGTGCCGGGCCTTGGCACTGCAGTACTTGAGGTCCTTGTCAGGCTCTACCACCTGCCCATTCCTCCAGCACTGGCCACACACAAACTTCATCTGCAGATCAAAGGTGCTGGGCCCATGTGTCCGAGGGGCACCCTGTGGGGGGATAGGGAGAGAGGTTGGTGAAGCCACAGACACCAGGCCCGAGGCCCTGGGGTCTGTCACACAGGTAGCCTTTGGGAGTGCTGGGACTTCCCAGAGCCTTGGAATGGCCTGGTCCATCCCCTGGTTCTACTAGCAGGCAGTGACCACCCAACTGCAGGCCCCATGGCTTCTTAGTGTGGGAGCCAGGCCTGAAATGTTGCTCCTGACTGCTGACCAAGTTCTCTTCCCACCTCTGGCTGGTCCCCACCTCAACTTACACCCTTGGAGGCCCGCTCTGTGGCACTGCTGCATTTCCTAAGGCAAGGCACACGCTCTCACCCCTCCCTGCCTTTGCACATGCTGTTCCTTCTGCCTGGAATGTCCTTCCTTCACTCTTCATCCAGCATGTTTTAGAAACTGTCTTTCAAGACTCAGCTCAAGTACCACCTCCTGCAGAAAGCCTTCCCTGGAGCTCTCCTGTTGCAGCTGCCCATTCTATGAGCTCCCATAGTCCTGAACTACTGCCTGTGGATGGACCCTTCCAGGCACGAGTGCTGGGCCTGTAGAGAGCAGGGGTAGATGGACAGATCTGGGCAGCCTTGGACTCTGGCCCCTCCCTCCAGGACAGTGTCTACCTAGTTTCTAAGGCCCCACCTACCATGTTCCTTCCCTGTCCTCTGCCCCAGCCTTTGTGCAAGCAGAAGGGCCTGCTCTTCTGTACCCCTGGGACAGGGTAGGGGGCAAGAGGTGGGAAAAATACCTGCCCAGCCTTGTCTCCTGCTACCTCAAAGCCCCTCAGCCCAGCTACATTGGCCAATCTCTTGTTCTGTGAACACACCAGTTGCTCCCTTCCCCTTCCATTAGCTACAATCCTCCTGGGAACCTAGGGTGTGAGGTCAGTCCTCTAGGCAGCCCTCGATCTTCCAGGCTGGCAGGTGCATGTCTCCTGCAATGGGAGCTCCCCCAGGACAGGAGCTGTGGCCTTCTCCCCTGTGTCCCCAGCACTGTCCAGACTAGGGCCTGCCCCAGAGCAGGAAGGAGCTCTGTCCTGACTGCTGACTGACCTCTGACTTGGCCCAGGAAAACGTGTACATTATCCTGGGAACAAGGTAAAGTCACACTTTCATAACTGGGACATGGCCTGTGCCAGGTGGGCAGGAAGCTTATTCACATGGCAGTTGATTTCTGGGCATCCCCTCAATTCTCACAACTGCACAATCTCACCAGCTCCCTGCCGCAGCCCTCAGAGGTGGGTGGGATCAGTCATATTTGACTGAGCAGAAACAGAGGCTCAGAGAGGTTACCATCCCAGATCCGGGCAAGTAATGCAAGGACAGGGGTCTGGTGTGAGGTGGGCACTTGTGCTTCTTTGTGGGATGGCAAAGATAAGCCACAGGCACTGGGCCTGAGCAACTTCTGCATTGGCAGCCCCTCTCCGGCTTCTACCAGCCCCATCCTGCGATGGCAAGTGAGCAAGAAGCCTCTTGCCTGGCCAGGGTCAGGCCTGGGATGGAAGCCCTGTTCCTGAGCCAGGCCACATACTGGGTGGGCTGGGTGGGGCCCCTGGCAGTGGGAGGGGTTAAAGCCCTCATGGTGCTCTCAGGCGGCTAGGACCATGTCCATCCCTGGGTGATCTGGCAGCACCACTGGATAGGATTGAAGGAGGGTTCCATGGAACAGGAGGGGGTGAGGACTCAGCGCTCTCTCTTTAGAAGGCGACGCTGCAAGTCCCATCTGAGCCCCTCACTGCTTCCCTGACTGGCTCCTGAGCAGGAGAAAGAAGAAACCAGAGCGGGAGGGGAAAAGAGGACTGCACAGGAGAGGAATGGAGAAGAGGAGGGATCAGGGAGAGGGGAGAGAAAGAGAAGAGAACCAGGAGCAAGGCGCCTAGGGAAAAAGGGCCGGGGGTGGGTAGCCCTGCCAGCCAGCCTGCCCTGCTCCCTGGCTCCCTGCCACACCCAGGCATGAGGGGTCCATGAGGCTGGGCATTCCCCAAGGTCAGTCTAGCATGGGTGAAAGGGTCATCCCACCTATGGGAAGATGCATGGAGGTCTCACCTCACACTCACTGACTGCTCCAGGGTCCTAAGACCACCCCTCTGACTCACTGCCCCACTGTCTTCTAGGGTTGCAATGATCCCACTGCCTGGGGCAGGTATGAGCATTGAGAGTGGCGCAGGGCCTACTGCACAGTAGCCTCACGACTGCCCTGAGACACGCACGAGCAGGGTCACATCCCCATTTTACAGATGAGGAAACTGAGGGTGACATAGTGCTAGGAATGGTGCAGGTGGGACAGAAGCTCAGCAAGCTCTGGATTTGTCCCACTCTGTGCACCCTGCGCAAGTCTCTAGCATGCTCCGAGTCTCAGTTTACCCATCTGCAAATGAAACAATACCACAGCTCAGGCACTGAGGACCATGGTGAGCATCAGAGGGATGGGAGATGACACAATCAGTGGGTGACAGTTTGAGCAGTACCAGGATATTTATATGGTCTCCAAAGTATCTCCCCAGAAGACATTTAGTAATTACTGAGGGGAAAAATAACTTTACAGAGGAGAAACCTTTACAGTAGAGTGACCTTTAATCAAGTCATCAAAGTTTGGGGCTGGCCAGTTAGCTCAATTGAGAGAGCATGGTGTTGGTAACACCAAGGTAATGGGTTCAGATCCCCTTATCAGCCAGCCACCAAAAAAAAAAAAAAAAAAGGTCATCAAAGTTTAATCAAATTATCACCAGTGTGGGCCGAGCCCATGGCGCACTCGGGAGAGTGCGGCGCTGGGAGGGCAGCAGCGCTCCCGCCGCGGGTTTGGATCCTATATAGAGATGATCGGTGTAGTGAAATAATAAGTGAAATTCGTCTGAATTCTGCTTTTAAGAATGGTGTCAGGCTGGCCTGTGGCTCACTTGGGAGAGTGCAGTGCTGATAACACCAAGGCCACGGGTTCGGATCCTATATAGGGATGGCCGGTTTGCTCACTGCCTGAGCGTGGTGCTGACAACACCAAGTCAAGGGTTAAGATCCCCTTACCGGTCATCTTAAAAAAAAAAAAAAAAATTATCACCAGTGAAGGGACAAATTGAGATGATGTGCCAAGGCGAACATGACATTGTCTCTGTGGAATGAGGAAACATCACACAATCCCAAATGGATGGACATTTTACAAAACAACCGGTCTTCAAAAATGTCAATGCCACAGAAGACAAAGACTAAGGAACTGTTTTCGATTAAAGGAGTCTAAAGGGAGACAACAACTGAACGAGGTGTGTTCCCCAGGATTTGGGGACAATTCAAGAAATCCGAATAATGGTATTATCAATGTTAATTCCATAATGTTGCTAATTATAGCGTGGTTATGTAAGAGTGTCCTTATTTTTATCATGTACATACTGAAGTGTTTAGGGTTCATGAGACTTCACATCTGCAACTTATTCTCAAATGGCTCAGAAAAACAGAAAAAAAGTGTGTATATTTATGTACATAAATGTATACGTGTGTATGTATACAGGCACACACGCACGCACGCACACACACACACACACACACAAAGTGGGTGTGGAACATGGTCAAACGTTAACATCTGGGGAATCCAGAAGAGGGGGTACATGAATTCTTCACACTATTCTTACAACTTTCTGGTACGTAGGAAATTATGTCAAAGCAAAGGGATAGGGACAGCCCTGGTAGGGCCCAACCCCACCCCCAATGCCATCCCTGGGGCCTTACCAAGCTGCTGCCGGCCTTCCCTGCATGGGCTTCCATCTGCTGCCAGTATTTCTTGGATTCCTGAACGATGTCTTCGTGGGTCATGCCTGGAGAGGGTGGGGGCAGATACAAGCATCCCTGAGGCGCAGGCAGAGGAGCCCCGTTCCCTAGTTAGGCCCTGTCTCAGTAGGACATGGGGCCAGGGGTTACCACGCATCCTCTCTGGGCCTTTTTGTTAATCTACAAAATGAGAATGAGGGCCTGCTCTGAGAGAATAAAATGCAGCCAAGAATGGGAAAATGCAAGAGAGAGGTTGGCTCTGTACCATGTCAGCGTCCCTGTGTCTTGGGCCAGCTGCTCAGCACCTTTCCCTGACCCCCACCTCTCTCGGCGGGGCCTCGGCCTGACCCCTGCTTGGCAGCCTCTACCTTCTCATTCTCAGGGCTCTGTGCCCGCCCTGGCCTGGCTCACCAGCTCACCGAGGTGCCACAGCTTTTCACTGCCAGTCCCCAGAGGGCAAATACCCCAGCCTGGGGGCCTGGACCCTCCCAATCTGGTTCCCACCAGCCTCAGACTGTTGACACTGAGCCTTCCCCTGGAGGTCCAGCTCAGTGACTCCTCCATGAAGCCTGCCAACTCCCTCCCCTCTTGCGAGTGCCTTTTCCACCACCGATTTTGCTTTCCGCTGTCCGGTGGATGCTGTCTACGGCAGCCACTCACCGTGGTGTTTACTCTGGGCCAGGCCCTGCACTTGACATCCAGTTTCTTCCTGATGATCCCCAAATATGTGTTCAGAGCCCAGACCTCTCCCATGAACTTCCAGACTCCCACATCCAGCTGCCTGCGCAACACCCCCACTTGAAGTTCAACAGGCAGTTCAAACTCCCCACATTCCACTGAGACTGATGTTACCTCCCAAACCTGCTCCTGCTATAGCCTCCCCTTTCTCAAGACATGGCAACCCAATTCTTCCAGTTACTCTGACCTTGGAGTTGACCTTGACACCATCCTTTGTCTCATACCCCATATCTGGTCCATCAGCAAATCTTGTTGATTCTACCATCAAAATATACCCAGAATCTGACCACTTCTCCCACCTCCACCACCACCACCTGGCCTAAGCCACACGCTCCCTGGTCCCCTATCTTCTGCCCTCACCCCTCTATCCTCCACCCAGCAGCCAGAGTGACTTTTGAAAAATATTGATCAGATCATACAACTCCACCCACTTGAAACCTTCCAGACATTGCATATCATATTTGGAACAATCCCTGAACATCATATTTAGAATAATCCCTGAACGCCAAATTTAGAATAATCCCAACTCTCTATTTAAGGCTTAGAGACTGCGCACTCAGGTCCCTGCTGACCTCTCGGGGGTCTCACCCCTCCCCTCCCCCCATTCACTAAGCTGTTCTGCCTCCATGGACAGTCTTGCTGTATGGAACTTGCTCCTGCCTCAGAGCCTCCAGCTTTGCTGTTCCCTCTGCCTGGAATGCACTCCCCACCCTTCGCGGCTCAAACGTCACCTCCTGAAGGAGGCCTTCCCAACCATCTTACCTACAATACTACCCACCCTGGGTCCCTCCCGATCCTACTGCTCTGTGTTACTTTCCTCACAGCACTGATGTGCATCTGTATTTTGTTAACTCTAAGAAGACATCAATTGTTAGATGTTCCATATTTTTATGTCCCCCATCACAAAATGCTGCTAATTAAATTATGATAGGCAGAGGGGGAAACGTGCATCCTAGATCAGATGGAACACAGGACTTATTTACCTATGGGATATTATCTGTCTTGCCCCCGCTTATAAAGGTAAGCTCTCTGTGAGTCAAGGCCTCGCCCAGATCATGGCTGAATCCCCTGGTACAGAGAAGGTGCTCAGTGGAGCCCCGTTAGAGGAGCGGGTGACTGAAAGAATGAGTGAGCATCTCCTCAACAGCTCTGTGAGGTGGAGATAAGGATCTCCATTTCCCAGATGAACAGGTGGAGGCTCAGAGAGGTTACTTGCTGACGACCCCCAGGGCAGCAAGTAGAGGAGCTGGAGCAGGCATCCAGTTCTGCCTGGCTCTGAAGCCCAGCTCCAACTCCTGGCCCATCTCCATGAGTGCTCCCCAGCAGCGCCCGGATAGGGAGACACCCAGGATCTCCTGAGTCTGGAAGCTCCCTGAGAGCAGGGCGTTGTCTTCTCTGACATCTGGGAGGGATCAGCTCCTCCAGGGCCACCCCCTGCCCCCCACAACCACCCTCCTCTGAGCTCTCCTGAAGTCCCCTCCACCCCCAGCCAGTCCTGCACCTCCCCTTTGCCCAGCCCTGCCCTGCCCCTCACCTGAGTACTGCTGCAGTAGCCAGACCTTGAGCTCGATGAAGCTGTGGGCAAAGTGGCAGCTGTCCTCCCGCAGGCAGCCGTAGCGCACCTCGTGGCGGCATACGTCAAACTGGAAGTGCTCCTGGAACTGGCGGATCTTGGAGTACTTGAGGGAGGTGGAGCGGACGATGTGCACCAGGCATCTGGTAGGCAGGCAGAGGGGCACAATGCGGTCTGCAGCCCCCACGACCTTCTACCCACCCAGTAGGCCCACTCTTCCAGTGCCAGGCAAGCCTGAGGGGAGGAGCTTCTCCCTGGGCACCTCCTTCCCTATTGATTCCCGACCACGGATGCAACGGTAAGAGATGGGAGTCCTGCACTCCTGCAATCCTGAGCTTTAGCCCCAGCTCAAGCCTCTGCTTTGCTGGTGCCCCTCCCCTCAAGATTCAATCAGGGCCAGCTCAAAGATGGAGCCGCCAGCAAGCAGAGAGCACCAGACCCCACCTGCTGCGAGGCCAGGGAAGGGAGAACCTGTGGGTGGGACAAGGGGCACTTTCCTCAGGCTTCTGGCTTGATGCTCCAGAACTGGTCCTGCACCCAGAGGAACAATAAGTGAGCACCCCCTCTGAGCCAGGAATCTTAGCTACCCTCACTGCAACCTTAGCAGATCAGATCAGCATCAACTTTACAGGGTTGGAGCAGCTGGAGGACAAAAAATAGGCCATTGACCAGGCCAAGAATTGGCTCAGTTCTATCTGACTCTAGGGTCTGGGCTCCATCATCCATACTGGGCAGAGCCAAGGAGAGCAAGAAGGAGCAAAGGTGGTGCCAGACCTGACCCAGCACCTCCAACTCACTGCGACGCTGCCCTCCTGACAGTGGAGGACGCCGGGCAGAAATCGGACAGCACCCCTCCCCGAGCCTGCTGAGTGAGCTACTGCCAAGCCTCAGCTTTCTCTTCTGTACAATGGGGACAGTAACTCCTCCTTCAGAGGACTGCTGAGATCATTAGAATAACTCAGACAATGCTTGGAATACAGTAGATGCTCAACAAATGTGGCTGCGTCCTTTCTACATGGAGGCTGGATCTGAGTCTCAAATTCTGCCCCTTGCCTGGACATTCTAGATCCACCCTTTGGCCTCAGCTTTTCACTGGCCCTCTGAGATGCCCCCAGGGGACTCTCCACCCACCCTAGCCCCAGCCCTTAGTCCCCAGGCTGGGGTACGGGTCCCACTTACTTGTTGTTATAGAAGCTGTGCTTGGCAGCCAGGTTGGAGCAAACAGACGGGGAGTCCTTGGTGCCTTTGCTGATGATCCGGGGCTTACTGTCAAAGCAGATCTGCCCAGGGAGGGGGTGGGCTTGGACCCTGCATGGCCACCCTGGGAAGGGGTGGGCTGGCACCCCACATGACCATCTGGGGAAGGACAGCTGGGTCCCTGCAAGCCCCGCCCTGGGTCAGGGGACTTAGGGAGGGAACCCCAGGGTCTGTGGCCCCTGTCTCTTTGGCTCTAGCCCACTGATGACCTGGGCCTTAGCTCCCTTCCTCTCCCTCCTCCCTTTCTCTGATCCCTACTCCAAATGCCTGGGGCTGGGGGCTACTCCATGTCTCTGAGCCTCAGTTTCCTCAACTGCAAACTGGGGATAACCACACCTGCTTTGTCCCACAGGTTCACTGCGAAGGTCAAAAAGAGATAAAAAGGAATTGCAGGTGCTCTGTAAACTCCATGCTGCTGCTCGGTTATGAGCTGTGATTCTCTGCCTGCTCTAAGAGTCAGGGGAAGGGCTGGCTACGCAGCGGATCAGGGTAAACTGAGCTGCACCAAACCCCGCCAGCAACCTTGACGTGGAGCCCTTGCTCCATGGAGATGGACATGACACTGCCCCTGCCTTCAATATGCTACAGCTGGGTGGTGAGTCAGAGGCTGTGTTCACTCCGGAGGCTGAGCAGGGTCTCCTGTGGCAGCTCTGGGGAGGGAGCTGCTGGGATCAGAGCTGAGCATGCAAGCACCGCGGGGGAAGGTAAAGCCAGGACATAGGCAGGGAAGCACAGCAGGCCCTGGGCAGGAAGGTGTGAGGAGAGAGGTGTGGAAAGCAAGGCCCAGGACACCTTGTTCCGAACGCTGAGCAGGACCAACCATGCTACACCCACAACACGAGACTCAGGCGCAACCCTGTACAAGCCCCTCGGTCTGCCTGCATCTCAGATGGCCTGGGAGGTGGGCATGGGCTGTGGGGACAGACTGCCTGCACAGACTGTTTGAAGCTAACTCTGCACTGTACTAGCCATAAAGACTTAGGAAGCTCCTCACGTCCCTGAACCTCAGCTTTGCCAGCTACAAAATGAGGACAATATCTGCCTGCCAGTGCCAATGTGAGGAGGGTGTGAGTATCTAAAGCACCTGGCCACAGGCCTGGCATGTGACTGGCTATCGGAAAGAGCAGGTGTGGGGTTATGATTTCTCTCTCTCGGGCCGGCCCGTGGCTCACTCGGGAGAGTGCGGTGCTGATAACACCAAGGCCACGGGTTCGGATCCCATATAGGGATGGCCGGTTCGCTCACTGGGAGAGCGTGGTGCTGACAACACCAAGTCAAGGGTTAAGATCCCCTTACCGGTCATCTTTTGAAAAAAAAAAAGATGATTTCTCTCTCTCTTTTTTTTTTTGGCAGCTGGGGGTACAGGGCTTGAACCCTGGACCTTGGTGTTATCGGTACCACGCTCTAACCAACTGAGCTAACCAGCCAGCCATGATTTTTCTTTCTGGCCTCAGTTTCTGCTCCTGCAAAATGAGGGGGCTGATGGGACCTGGGCTCTAGCAACACAAGGTCCTACAGGCCTAACTTTCTGGCAGTACAAGGACCTACTGATTCTAAGGTCAGGCCCCTAAATGCCCAGGTGCCAGGATGGCCCTTCTGTGATGGCCAGGGAGCCCCCGTCTGTGCCATGGACTGTGGGGTGATAGGCAGGCGGGTACCTCACAGAGGAAAGTGAAGATGCCCTGGTGCTCCCTGAGGAGCTTGGCGATGGTGAGACTGCCGCGCTGTATGCCCCCCAGCGGGTCAAAGAGCAGGTCGCGGTTGAGGGTGCCCTTCCGCTCCTCGGTCCACACGTCGATCTCCTCCTGATGGTAGGCGAAGGTGCAGTTATCCCCGTACTTACAGTCCTGCTTGTTAATCATGTCTGCAAAGAGGCAACAGGATACACGTTCTGCCAGGTGGGGACAGCATCCCGCAGCGCCCCCGCAACTCCTGCTGCAGCTCCTCTGCCCTGACACTGGCGAGGTGGCGGCTGCTTCCCTCCCGACGAGAACTTGGCAGGAGCAGAGCAGCAGAGCTGGACAGCCCTTCCCAATCTCCAGGCCCCCACTGTGCTCTGCACCCGCAGAGCCCACTAGGAGCTCCTGCCCACCTGTCCCACAGGGCTGCCTTTCGCGCATTAAGCAAGCTGAAAGGTCTGAAAAAGGCTTTGTAGAAGTATATCAGCCTCTAAATGAATATGAAGGATTTTAAAAAATTAGAATTCAGGGCCGGCCCGTGGCTCACTCGATAGAGTGCAGTGCTGATAACACCAAGGCCACGGGTTCGGATCCTATATAGGGATGGCCGGTTTGCTCACTGGCTGAGCGTGGTGCTGACAACACCAAGCCAAGGGTTGAGATCCCCTTACCGGTCATCTTTAAAAAAAAAAAAAAAAATTAGAATTCACCAGGGAGGGGCTGGCCCGGTGGCGCACTCGGTAGAGTGCAGTGCTTGGGAGTGTGGTGGCGCTCCCGCTGAGGGTTCAGATCCCATATAGAGACTGGTCCGCTCACTGGTTGAGCGCGGTGCGGGCGCGACATCGAGGGTTGCGATCCCATTGCCGGTCACGGTACGGGCGCGACACCGAGGGTTGCGATCCCGTTACCGGACACGGAAAAAGACAAAAGGAAAAAAGAAAAAGAATTCACCAGGGAAATACTACTGCATAGTTAAGAGCATATAAAAGAGCAAATAATACTGAATATTTAATGGGCTTTGGAGTCAGACTTGAGCTGGGATTCCCCATTACTCCTTGAGCCCCGGCTGTCTTTCATAAATGGAGGACACTAGGTTGTGGTGGGGATTAAGTCAGATAACAGATAAAATTTCAGGGGACCAGGGAGTTTGGAGAAAGGGAAGCAGGTTCAGAATGTGGAGACCTGCCATTTCCCAGGGGTGGGACCTGTTTTTCTTCCCCTTCCTCCCACTCTCAATCTGCCTTGTCCCATCCCTCTGCCAGGCTCAAGGCACATAATGACAAATGGGTCACAGTCCTGGAGGAGCGGGCAGGGGGAGGAATGGGTGCAGGAATGGGTGCAGGGGAGCACTGCAGGAAAGACTCCCCAAGATCTATCTGGGTGATGCCTGAAGGAAGAGCAGAGCACGACCCGGCTCAAAGGGCACAGCACGTGCGATGGAGTCGGGGAGGCCCTAGTGTGTGGGGAATGGTCAGGGCAGAGGGCGAGGCAGCGGCTGTGGGCAGCGCAGGCCTCCTTCTAGAATTTGGGCTTCATCCCACAGGCCATGGGTAGTGGCTGATGGAGGCCTCTGAGCCCAGGAGTGACATGTTCTCAGTCCAGCCCGGCTGCTGGGAGAACAACAAGCTGGTCCAGAAGGCCTGGTGGGCTATTGCCATGAGCTGGGTTGGGAGATGGAGGCAGAGCCTGTGGCAGACTCTCAGAGCCTCAGTTTCCTTGTCCAGTGTTGGGAGGATGACGAAAGGGCTGCGCTACAAAGCGCTCACCCACCTCGTGACTGTCATGTACTGCCACACAGACTGGACCAAGGTGCTTGGTTGGGAAATAGAAGAAAGCAAATAAGGTACACAATAAATGTCCATTAGATACGACCAAACTCACAGGAGCCACAAGTGAGGACAATGACAAGAAGAGAATAATTAAAAGGAGCTAACAGTGATTGGCTTTACTATGTGCCAGTCCTGAATGCTTTACATGGGTCTCTCCACATGCTCCCAACAGCCCCCTGAGACCCTGCAGCAGCCATGGAAACCAGCTCTCCACAGACTGTCTGAGCACAGGCCACCAGGGGGGCTCCAGCTCCAGTGGAGCATCCTGAATGTTCTCTGCCTGCCTGTGGAGCCAGTCCGGATAGGAGATGCTCCTTCTGATGCAGACTTGTTCTCTGTGAGCCCCAGGAGCCTGAGCCTCAGCTTCCTCTGCTCTGCGTGGCTGTGAGGACCACACCTGCCCTGTCTACCTGCGATGAAGAGAGAGCAGCAGCTGGGCAGAAGAAGCGAGGCCCTGGCTGTGTTGCCCACCCTGCTGCAGCTCACCCACCTTTGCACAGGTAGTAGGAGCCCACGAAGCTGGTCTTGGTGGGCCGGGGCCGGATCCGCTTCCAGGTCTGGTCCTCTGAGCTCCGGAGCCGGCCAAGTAGGATGTCCCGCTTGCACTTGTGCTCAAGGCCCTCACGGTAGGTGTAGTCGCCAGCCCTGGGTCCTAGGGGCAGATGGACAGGGACGGTGATTCCAGAAGCAGAACTTAAGGGTGACAGCTAGCAGGCCCAAGCAGTGGGTGGGGGTCATCCCCCCACCTGCACACCTACCTGCCCTCACCTGGGCCTCCCGCCAGCTCCCATCTTACCCTTCCCTGCTATGTGCTCCTTGGAGACAGTGGGCCGTGTTGGGGGGACACCCCCTCCAAGGAGCCCATTCTTGGCACCCACCCCCTTTCTACCACCACCCTGACTCTCTAGTGCCCATTTCAGGGTTTCTCTAGTAAGACTTATGAAGACAGTGCCTGGCAGTGAGCCCCCAGCGAGTGTCTGACCTTGACTTTCCTGCCCTAGAGGGGATTCTGTTTTCCTGCACTTATCTCTGATTAAAACACTTGGATTCTTTCATTCTGGGATGCCAGCATATCTGGGGCAGGGGGTGGGGTGCTCAGGTGTGACGTTACCTGTCTTGGGGTAGCAGAGCTGGCAGGCCTGCTTGAACTCGTGGGTGGCAGCCAAGGGGTTCTTGATGAGCAGGGCAGTGTTGGGCATGGAGGGCTCTGGCTGTGACAGGAGATCAGCCATCTTAGGCCCTGGATGATGGCTGGACCACACAGGCCAGCCTGGGTACTAGAGGTGGGGGTGCTCTATGACACCCCCTCATTGTATCCGACAGCAGAAGTGTAGCCCAGGACTCTCCCTTCCCAGTTGGGGAACTCCTTATAATGTGGTCCAAGAGCCCAGAACCCCGAACATCAGACCAGATCAGCCTAGGGAAGCCCCTAGGTTAGTGGGGGTGTGTGAATGATAACGATCTTGGCCTGGAAACTTTCCTTGAATAAAAGCCTATGCACATGCCCTTGCCCATGCCCACTAGCCATCAGCAGATAGGGAGGAAGCAAGACTCAGAGAGGTTGGGCGACTTCCCCAGGGACACACAGCTAGTGTCCAGGCTGAGGTCAGAATACAGGCCGCCTACCTCCTGGTCAAGTGCTCCTTTAAACTCAGAATCTGGCTGAGTGTGGAGCCCAGGGATGTTACTAACTCTCGGGAAGTCACTTAGCCCCTCTCCTTGCTGACAAGGACGGTGGTGCCCTCTTCCTGCTCTCCCAGCATGTGGCTCAATGAGGAAGGGCTAGGAAGAGACCCTCTCTGGCCCGCCCACTCTGATGGTGCCCCTTCTGGGGGGATGCAGTGCCTTACTCCATGCAGAGTTCACCTCCTCTCCCCTGGAGCCCACATCACTTTGTCCCCACCTCCAGGAGGGAATGAGAGGCCTGCTCATGGAGCCCCACCCAAGTTACTCACCGAGGGGGCTGGTTTCTGTGTGCCGCTTGGGGGACGATGGTCCTGGGAGTTGCTCTCCTCTGGGCAGGGAGAAGGCAGAGGAGTCACTTCCCCTGGCCCTGAGGGTGTGAGGGACCTTCCTAGGGCTTTCTCTTATGTATTTCTAAGTCAGAGGATCTCTTCAGGCCACATGACCTCTCCTGTTCAGGCTGATCCCCTGACTCTGTCCCGTCCTCTTTACCCCGCAGCCACTACCCTGGGGTAAAAAGGCCTCCCAACCGAGCAGATCCGTCCCTTGCTTAAACCTTTCGAGGCTCCCTGCTGCCCCTTAGGAGAAAGCCCAAGCTCCTTAGCTTGGCTCACAGGTCCTCTGAGACCAACATCCGCACCAACTTTCCCTCCACCGGCTGCCTTGGTCATCAGTCAGCCCCCACGCCATCCAGGCCTGGGCCTCTGCTCTCTCTGCCTGGCAGAGCAACTTCTCCTCCAAGACCCTGCCCAGCCGTCAGCTCCTCCAGGAAGTCTCCCTTGGCTCCAGGGCAGAGTGAAACCCTCTCAGTCATAGGTGCCCTGGGCTATATCGAACTGCAGACAGGTCTGCTTCCTCTCTGGGTTCCCGGAACCCAGCTCAGGGTGGTGCAGAAGGAGCCCATGGCCTTGTACCCTGCCCCAGCCTCAGGATCATCCCCATGGGATCTTACCAGACTGGTGACCCAGGGTCTGGTGACCCTGGTCTGCCCACCAGGAGGCTGGGCAGAGAGCACCAGACTGGGTGATTGCAGTCTGATCTGGCCCGGCTCTGCTCTGTTTGATCCTGAACAAGAAGACACCCACCCCTCAGGCCTGAGGCCTATACCATGCTGAGTTCTGCAGAGACACAGCCACACATAGATGTGGCCCTGGATCACTAAGGGATGAAAGGGCCTGGGCTTTGGCAATACAGAGTGGTCATCCCAACTCCATTCTCCATAGACTAGAGATGTGACAGTGCTTTGCAAACTGACGAGGGGTAGGGGTGAACATGCCATCAGGTCTCACCCATGAAGGAGTCAGGCTTGTCCAGGGAGCCTCGGGTCGACCCGAAGCTGTCGAGGGCATCCAGCCGGGTCTCTGAGTACGGCAGCAGGTCCAGGGGGTCCAGGGTGGGGCCTGGGGGGTCGAGGGCCTCCAGCACGGAGGCAGCCAGCTTCTTGGAGGGGTCCATGACGAGGCCGAAGGAGGCAGGGGGCAGTGGACTGGAGACAGGGATGGAGCCACCCACCACAGGTGGTAGCAGCGGGGTCCCACCGGGGAACACGGGTATCAGCTGGGGCAACTCACTAGGCATGCCGCTGCCGGGCAGGCCCCCCTGCACCAGAGACTGCGGGGTGGGGTGGGGACAGAGGGAGGGGTCAGAGAGGAGAATGCCTGGGCAGAACCGGGCACTCTGGGAAGCAAGCAAGCCTACCCCTCTCTGCGGCCAGGCCTCAACCTGCCCCATGAGGTGGACTCAGGGCTCTTTACAGTCCCTCTGGGTGTACATTCTGCAACTTCGTTTCTATCACAAGTAGTCTCTCCTGAGGCCTCAGTTTCCCCAGCTGTGACATGGGGACAGGGCCTTCCTTCCACCCCTCATGGGACAATGGGGTTCCTTGTGGGAGAGGGGTTCAGGGGAGCAGAGGGCAGCGGCTGGGCTCACCAGAGAGTCCAGGAGGGTGTCCAGCTCCGGCCCAAAGACATCCCCGTCTGAAAAATCATCCAGGCTCTCGGTGCCGGGGAGGACCCTGCTGCTGCTGTCCAGGGGGGCCAGCAGGTCCAGAACGTGAGGGAACAGGGGCATCGTGGGGTTGGAAGGGAGGAGGGCCGGGGAGCCTCGCGGGTCCACATAGCAGTCTGCGGATGGGGGTGGGCTCAGTAGCTGAAGGGGGCACTGTGTGCTGGGAGTGAAGGTGTCCCAGGGCCCTGGGGTGCTCACCCAACACCTTCCCTTCTTTCCCAGCTCCTGCCATGATCCCTGCCTGCCCCATCAGGCCTGTCCCCCTTGGGAGAAGCTCCATAGTAGTCAAGGAAGGCGGCCCGGGGCTGGAGTGGGCCCTGCAGTCCCACAGTATCTCCCGATGGCCCTGGCCCAGGGCCTGAACACCCACCAGCACTGCCCCTTCCTATGGGGCAAGCAATGTCCCCTCCAAGGGACACTTACAGCACCACCCTTCCTGGAAACCGGTGAGGAAGAGAAGGGCTCCTGAAGGGGAGGGGGTGGCCTGGAGTGAAGGACACAGGACCAGCGCCACCCCACTGGAGGGATGCTCTCCCCTGCCTGAGGGGGAGTCTGCTGTTCTCAACCCACTATTTTCTCTCATGCGGAGTCCCCAGGGTAGGGAGCCCCTAGGGGCCCCTGTCTGCAGGGCTGGGGTGGGAGAGGCTTGACTTGCCTGAACTCCCAGGGAGGTTGGGGGTGAGGGGCTGAGCCCTCCCTGGGTCCCATCTCCACCCCATCCCTGACATCAGGGACACTACCTGTTTCGATGTCATCTATGGACCCCAATCCGTTGGAAGTGCCCTGTGGAAAGGAAGGACATGGTGGGTCAGACAGACTTGGGCTGGGCAGGCCCCTGTGGCTGGCACTCAGGGTTCCCATCCCCTCCCCATGTGATGATGCTGATGACCTGGCACGGGGCAGCACTGAGAGCACCAAGGGATATCAAAACCCCAACACATGCTGGCTTCTCAGCCTGCCATGGCACCCAGGAGGAGCTGTGGGGACAAACAGGCCTCCGGCTCCCCCTCATGGGAGAACTAGCCTAGGGAAAAGGACATAACTTCCGCACCTTGGTTTTCCCATCTGTCATACGGTAGGGTCTACACCCTGGGGAGGGTGGCAAGGGTTTTACCAAGCCCTCCTTGCAACTCAAAGAGATAAGTGCCTACTGCCTGAATCACTAGTGTCCCCTCCCCCAGCTATGCCCCAGGCCCTCTAGGAAGCAGAGAAGAGGGGAATCGGCCCAGTCAGAACCCACTGCCACCCAGCTGTGGACCTTCCGCTGGAGGGAAAGCTGGGCCTGAACTTGCTTTGTGGGCTGCCAAGTCCCTCATCCTCTCTGGAACTGTTTCCTTATTTGTAAGACGAATACACAGTCACCCGCCTCCTGAAATTGTTATAAGGATTAAATGACTTGACATTTGTAAAGAGCTTAGAATAGTGCCTGGTACATAGAAGGGTGCTTTACAAGTGTTTATTAGATGCATAACATTTATTTTTAAGTCCGAGCTGTCAGGAGGCTGGCCTGGGTGAGCGGCGTGTTTAATTCACCAGCCCACGCTTTACCCTCGACGGACTCCCCCGCCTCGCCTCCACCTCCACCTCCATTCCATTCCTTGACCCTGAATGTCCTCCCGTTCTTCTCAGAGTTCCTCACGACCCAGCTGAAGTCCTGCTCCCCCAGTGAGCCCCGAGTGGCCCCTGCCTCTTCTGTGCTCCTGCAGAGACGGGAGGAGGACCACACCCTCACCGCTAGCCATCCTCTCCCAGGGTCAGCAGTAGCGGGAACAGCAACAAGATTCATCCAGGGCCTTGCCTCCTGCCAGGCCCGTGACAGCACATCACACCTGCTGTCGCATTTAGCCCTTGGTATGGGTGCCTTGCAAGATGTCGTTCCAAGACACAGGAGATGTTGGCCCGGAAAGTTGCCATTTACAGGTCAGAACAGGGCTGTCCTGACCCTGTCCCCTGACCCCCAGACCCACCCCCACCAAGTGCCTCCTTCCCACACCCCCGAACCTATGCACAGAGCACACAGCAAATACGTGTACTTCAGTCTCCCAGGGTGTGTCTGCCCATCGCAGATAAGCTGCATAAACCAAGGACATCGCGGGCTCAGAGAGCTCCTGTTCTCACAGTACGTATGTAAAACATTTGAGGGGGAAAAAGAGGTAGCAGATGAACACCTGAGATTCTCCCTGGTAGGTGCTGCCCGTGGCTCCCCAGGCCCTGCAGGACGAAGTCACCTTCTTAGCCCTCCTGCCACCACCTCGCCCAGCCTTTCTAGGCTCACCTCATCCTGCCCTTCTGGATGGACTTCCTGCTAGTAACGTTCATTTAGCAACAAAGGTTTATGGAGCAGGCACTGTTGTAATCCTACAACGACCATGAAATGGCAGGCACTAGCACCCTTTCAAAGATAAGGAGCTGAGGCTCTGAGAGGTGGAGTGGCCAGCTCAGATAAGGGGCATGCTCAGGATTTGGACCAAAACAGGTCCAGTTGCAGAGCCCAGGCTCTTCTGAAGCCCATGCTCTCAGTCTGGGGTATGTCTCTCCCTTCAGATTTGCTCAGACTGTTCCCCTGGCCGTGAGTGCCATTCCCTCCTCTCCACCTGTCCTACTCTGCTGGTTCCGTGAAGCCCTCTCGACCAAGGCTGCCTTGGGCTCTGCATTCCCAGAACTCACAGCCCACCTTGTGTCTTGCTCCCCATGCTGCCAAGAGCTAGCTCTTGCACAGACACTGTGCCTTGCAGTGCCTCTCCCTGTCTCCTGGGTCATAAAAAGCTCCCTGTGGGCACAGCTGGGGCCATCCCCACTTCTAGGCACACCCAGGGAATGACTAATGGGCCGAGTAGATTCCACGTTGGAGAATCCCACAGGGACCCCAGCAGCCAGTGCTCACACGTCTTCGCACAACTTATAGAAAGCCAGGGGCTCTGGCTGGACACCACCCTGCCCTCATGTGTCCTTAGGCAACTCTGTGCATGTGTGTGTGTGTGCGTGCGGGCACATGCAGTACCATGCTGGGCACGGGGAGGCACCGAGGCAGAGTCTGACCTGGTCCTCTCCGTTTTGGAGCCCACTCTGCTTGGGCTTTTCACAGACCTCTGTAATCATGACCAGCCCTGACCTCTGTGAAAGTGGGGGTAAGGGGCCTAGCAAGGTTGCAGGGATGAGTGAACAGCCTGGCCGTGCCAGGCATGGCACCATCTGTGGTCCACCAGCTGTGGGCTGAGCAGGGCATCGTGGGCTTGACCCAGGAAGAACCACGAATTTTGTCCGTATCTGCTGTGGCCCTTTGGCTACAGTCATTCTGTCATTCAATGAATGACTTCTGAGCATCTGCTATGCCTGCCCAGCCCCAGCTCTACTTGCTGTTATGAGCAGTTAACATGCTGCTGTATCTAGTGTCCAGATTGATGACGGTCACACAGAAGCACTCAAAAAACATCTCCTGAACTAATGAATAGAATCGATTCTGTCCTCCTTCAATGCCTCCCAGTGCTCTCGTGACGAAGACCCCGCTCTGTGCCAAGGACCAAGTGGTCTGCCTTCTATCTACTGTTCCAACCCCGCCCCACCTCCGCTTCTCTTGGTTCCTCCCAGCCTCAGGACCTTTGCACGTACCTTCCCCTCTGTGTGGAATGCTGTTTCACCTGCACACCTTGCCCCTGCCTAACCTTCAGCCAATGGCCCATGGCTCCCCACACGCTGCCTTCACAGCTCTCATCACGGTTTGTACCCAGAAATGACCAGGTTAATGTCTATCTGCCCTGGACTGTGAGTTATTTTAGGCCAAGGACCAGGTTGGTTTTGTTCACCACATACCCAATCCCAGTCTTAGAGCCTGGCACACACTGGGTGAACTTAGACAAGCCACCTAACTTCCCTGCACCTTGATTTCTCCTTTGTAATAAGGGAATAAATAGTACCTCCCTCAAGGAGCTGTTGTGAAATTGAGACTGTTCATTCATTCACTCATTCATTCATTCATTTGGTTAGTACTTTGTTTTGAGCACCTAGTACGTGCCAGGCCTGATTATCTCTGTTGCAAACCACGAGTGCTATAAAGGCAGAGCCCCATCTGCCTCCCTTGCAGGCTGGGAAGGCCCAAGACTAAGGACACAGCTAACTCAGGCTCAGGGCCAAGAACGGGTTCTGTGGGACCCCTTGTTGAGTGAATGAATGAAAGCATCATAAAGCTCTGGGTGAAAGGAAGCCTGCTGCCACCTTGCCATGTGGCATTGGCCAAGTCCCCTCCCACTTTGTGCCTCAGTTTCCCCTTGTGTACAACCAGACAGCAGGACACTGGGCTCTATCAAAGCTCACTTTCCAAAAAGCCTCAAAGTCCACCTGAGCAGTTCCTGTGTGTGTGTGTGGCATGTGCTGGGTCCTGCTACCTCCCCAGGATAAGCCAGGCCTGACTGGGTTGCACAGGTCTTGGCCCTGTGGGTGGGAGTCCTACACCGAGATAATGCTGCAGCTATCAGCAGCTAATGCCCATTGTTTCCCACTGGGGCCCATAGTTCTTGGGTTATAAAATGCTTCCCTCCCTTGCCCTGATGAGGGAGAGAACATCCCCATTTCACGGATTTGGAAGCTGAGGTTCAGAGATGAAGGACCTGCCCAAGGCCACAGCCAGAGCAGGGTCCAGTCAGACCCTTATCTGTCAGAGTCCAAAGTCTGAGCTCTCCCTCCCCCTCCCCGTGTTTCTCCCCAGCAGAGGGCCTGGGCCATGGGGTAGCAGGAAGGGTCTCAGTGACTGGATGTGCTTGAGCTGGGCCTTAAAAAGGGAAGAGACAGAGAAAGGCAGGGTGGAAGGAAGGAAGACATTTGAGGCCCGGAGGCCTGAGCCTGCAGAAAGGCCAGTGAGAAGGCAGTCAATGGCAGCTGAAGTGTGGGGGTAATGACGCAGAATGACAGGCAGCTGGGACCAGACCACCCAGACCTTGTCCTGGCCTGGTGTGCACCCCTGACAGTTCCTTGCGATGACCACTTCCACCAACAGCAGCCAAGCCCATCCCCATGCTCTGCCCCTGTGGTCACAGGAGGCACCTCCTGGGGAGGTGTAGGTGTTGTGTGTCTCTCACAACTTGGACCCAGGCTCAGGTTGTCAGTCATCCCCGTCTTTCCAGGGCATGTGCCTGGCTCACAGCAATGGGGACAAGGACAGCGTAAGCCAACCCTTCAGTCTAATGCCCCAGACCCGCTGCCTGAGGTCATTTATATCCCAGAGAGTGAACCAAAAGTTCTCATGATGGATGAACCAAGATAGGTGGTACTGGGGGTAGGGAGGGGGCTTGGGGTCCCAGCCCCCATCCTACCTGATCTGCCACGCCAGCTGCAGTGCCATTACTGAGCAGAGAAAAGGTTTCCAATTCCTGCCGGAGATTGGAGAGAGGTGGGAAGAGATGAAAATTCCAGAACGATGCTCAGGATCCCATCAGCCAGGGTAGCAGAAGGCCCCCACAGGTGGCTAGGGTCTGCGGTGCCCTCCAAGGTTCCCTGCCCCCAGGCCTGCCAGAAATCACCTTCCCTGTGTCTCTGGGTCAGATTCAAGTGTTTTCTTCCTCCAACTTCAACCTGGTCAGAGGACCTCCACGTACACACTCTTACTGTGTTCCAGGCACTGTGCTCGGTGCCATTGCAAACATTTTCTCATTTTAATCCTCTCATGAGCCCTCGGAGGTGGGCATAAGTACCCCCATCTTCCGGATGGGGAAACCAAGGTGTAGAGAGATGAACTAACTTGCTCAAGGTCATGGCAGAGACTCTAGAGCCATCTGCTTTCCCACATGCAGCTTCCTGGCACATGGTGGTACCAAATGAATACATGTGGATCTGAACTAGGGAAAAAGATTCTGACATTTCAAATAAACACTGTATGGGGTTATTTGAGAACATAAGGCTGAAGGACACCGGTGTCAACTCAGGCCATCTCCAGGGGAGTTACATTGGCCAGGGCAGTGGGGGGGTGGTGGGGTGAGTTTTAACAGCTGGTGTCTAAGGTGAGCTAGAAGTGTTCACTGTTCTTTCCTTTTCTAAAAGATTTTGGTAGTCATTCTAGGGCCTTCAGCCAACAGAGAGGAAGGTCACCTGCTGTCACTTTTCTCTGTCCTAACCTGGCCCTGGCCACCTGCGTGCAGCCTCCCCCTCCCTTCACACCTCCTCAGCTCCACCCCACCCACCCCAGGGCTCAGAGCCCACTTACCTGGGGCCTCTTATATGCCTTCCGAACTCGCAGCCCGAGCTTCTGAGCCAGCTCCTGACCAAGCTGAGTGACAATTTCATCCTGGAGAAGGCAAGACATAGGGGGTGGGGGTTAGTCAGCTTGGGTTCACAAAGCTGTGCTCCTGGACACTTGTGCAGCCTTGCAAGAGGGGGCCACACTTACCCTAAGTGACAGACAAGAAAATGAGGCCCCACGAGGTTACCCTGGCTTTCCCAAGTCACACAGCTAGCAAGTGGTGGGGCTGGGACCATGGACCAATGCTTTTGTTTTTCCTCATATTTGTGGGAGGGCACAGAAATAATTTTGTTCTTATTTTAGTCTTTTTTTTTTTTTCCTTTTTGTCTTTTTTTTACTGACCGGTAACGGGATCGCAACCCTCGGTGTTGCGCCCGCACCGCGCTCAGCCAGTGAGCGGGAACCGGTCTCCACATGGGATCCAACCCCTCGGCGGGAGCGCCGCCACCCTCCCAAGTGGCGCACTCTCCAGTGCGCCACCGGGCCGGCCCTTACTTGATGAATTTTTTTTTTTTTTTTTTTTTTTTGTCTTTTTTCCGTGT